GTTATCCTTATATCAGGCCTGTAAAAAAATCACATGTCAATTTTTTGTGAATCACCAGAAGTAATTTTCTGTTCAAACACATTTGCTTGACCCCATCTCTTTTCTTCCTGCCTTCCACTCTGTCAGCTCTCCACATCTAAAGGGAGTTTTGCTGAATATAAATTGTTGGAATATGAAGAATTAATGTTAGTAGACAGACAGAAGTTCTGAAAATCGTGTGCTGAAAGGGGCTTAGTTTGGAACAATAAAAGCTTCTGTTTATCCACATACAGTGAGGATTTTATTATTACCATGTTTTGTGTGTATTTTTAGTCACGGTCCCATCCTATAATCTTCTTAGTGGACAGAGGTTTGAAACTGAATAAAATTACTAATGCAATGTGTAGATTTTTGGTTTTCAGGTTTGTCAAAATCCTCAAAAATGATAAAAGCACAGTTGATTTGGTCCACTGGGGCTTTGGATATTGCAAATATGACAAATGTGTGACAAAGGTGTGAAATAGTATATGTCAATTATGAATCACCCATTGTCATAAAAAATTGTAAAAGGTCCTATATTATGTAAAAATGGATTCTTGTGAGCTTTAAGTCATGTTATAAAGCTGTTTCCTCATCAAAAACATACCTGGAGTTTTGTTTTTTTCATTCACACGTTTGATTAATCTTTTATTATAAGCCTGTGTACATCTCCAAATTTCAAAATGCTCTGTTCCACCATGTGATGTCATAAGTGACGTAGTCTAATAATCCCACTATAGTGTTTAAAAACAAAGTGGAGCTCTATCTGTATTACCACATGGCAAGGTGGAATAGGTCTAAATATGCAATATTTGTGTGTTAAACATGTGAAGGAAACGGAACACAACTCCAAGTATGTTTTTGATGAGGAAACAACATTATAATATAGACAAGAAAATAGCGTAATATGGGCCCTTTAAATTTTGAATCACATTTGTCAGCATTAAATTATTTAAAATTAAAATGACTATACACAGTGATGAAATGGGAATGTATATATTATGCAGAGTAATAATAAATATGAATCAATTATACAAAGTGTTAAATTAAATATTATCACATACAGTCTTGTGTCTGTATGTGTGAATTGCATATCTATATATCCAACAAGAGCCAAACTATAGCCTCTCTAATATACCAAAGCAAAGTGGTGTCTGTAACTTGCCATTTCTCAAAATAGCCTTCTTCTTCGAGGTTGAGATGAGTCATAGCCTTTTCAAAGAGGTGAACCTGGTGCTTACCCCTCTTCAGACACAAATATCCTCGACTATCGCAAACCAATGCTGAAATCTCATCAGTAAATAATGCATTCAAAGAGCCTGCATTATGGATAGGCACGGATCCACACAACATGAAGGGGGATTTGTGGTGAACGTAGCCTGTGTGTTGTGCGCAGTCATCCCCTACTGTGCTCAAGTGTGCTTTAAGTGCGTCTTGTCGAGAACAGTTAGGATGGATTGTGATCGTTTTCATGTTGTTGGATATTTACAGGACATTGAAAACCACACAGGGACATGTATCTACAGTTTATTTAATGTGTTTGGCCCATAGAGGAAAATGGGGACTATCTGCTACCTCCTTGTCTCCATGATGATGTCATTGATTTATTGATGACTGACTGATGTAACTGAACCCTGGAATGTTCCACACTATGGCATTAAACATCAATTTATTTTTAATTAATTGCAGGTATTTATGAAGTTTAAAATATCTAGAAAAACAAGCTTTAAGGAGCCATATTGCACTATTTTCTGATCTATATTATAATGTTGTTTCTTCATCACAAAGATACCTGGAGTTTTGTTTTGTTTCATTCTCACATGTTTAACACACAAATCCTTTCGCTGTTCAAGCTGAGCTCTGTTCCACCTTGTGATGTGATGTATTAATACAGGAAGAGCTCCATTGTGTTTTTAAACTCAAACTCACACAACTTCACTAGAATTATTTGGATAATTTCAGACCTGGAATTGCTAATTGCTACTAAACTAAAGGTAAAAAGCAGATAGACTATTTAATGCCATATTGTGAAAGGTGCCAGCCAAAGCAATAACATCTCCATGGAGACAGGCAGGTGGCAGACCCTTCACCAGAAAAGTTACATAGAGAACCTTAAAGTGTCACAGTGCATTTTTGGTACTCTAGCTACTGAGAAACAACAGAAAAGAAGGAAAAGAAGGAGATCAGTTGCCCTCCCAACCTTCTATATCGCATATGTTTAAGATGCCCTCCTATGCTCCAAGTATATCCCTGTAGTGTGTCAGATACTCTCCCTTCTTATATCATTGTGTGCCAGATACCTTCTCTAAACTAAACTCCATACAATTGCATAAAAATATGAATCTCCATTGTGGTTCAATACTTAGTTCACAAAAAGTAATCTATATCAAAACTTGGAAATATGCCAAAATACTAGACCAGCAAGTAATTTCAACTGAAAAATCTTGACAAACCTAATCTCTTACAGAAGATTTATTTAGATGTTTGAGCACAAATGTCAGTGTTTTTTGGTAAAAGTAGATCAAACTGTCTCACACATCAGGAGCACTTTTGACCTACAGCGTGACAGAGGGTGTTCATTTCTTCTCCTTGCTTGATCAATTGCTGCCAACAGCCTATACTGACACTTGTCTTGGATAAATGATGACCTTAGGCTGGTTGTTATGGTGATGCACACACTCACTGTTGTGGGTCCCAAGCCTCAGGTGGTGCTGTGTGGTCGAGATACTGAGGGATGAAAGAAAAGCAAATGTTAGGGTCAAAACTGGGATGTAAATAAAAGCTTTTTTATCAATAAGTCACTGTATAGGTTTGATGTTACTGTATCAGCATCACAAACGGTTCCCTTTATTACATTATTACATTATTACTTTACATGATATAATACCACTTTTTGTATTTCACTCCAAGTGGTACAAGTATTTGGTTGCTTTTTTGAAGAGAGAAACATAGGTTAAAATATATTAGCATCTTTTATAAATAATGAAATATTGATATTATCAATATATGAACAATATATACATTTCTGCTATATCCTGATAATATAAATTGCTGCTATATCCTGATAATAATAACAATGATGATAATAATAATAATATATAATTGGATGGGGCATACAGGACCTTTCAAGGCACCCAGAGCATTTTTCATTTAAAGAATGTCATCTGTGGCTCATGATTTACATAATTTTACATACATATAATTTGGACATTTTAAATGGCAATAATTGTCGAAAACAACTTAATAAAAGAAACACGTCTGTTTACTTACATGTTAGATGGAGATGAGAAATTGTTGTCACCACTCAAGGGTAGCTGCTGATCATGCTAGTGAGTTGTTTGTTTGTTTGTTTGTTTTTTGCAAAAATGGCTATGAGATGCTGCCGAATCCTATGCATATCACTGATTTAAGAAATTAAAACTGGAAAACAAAGTACAGAGCAGTGGACATCTTGATTACAGGAGTATAAAGATTGCTGAAGCATGCACGAATCATGCCAAATAGAGCCTTAAGTGGGTAAATGAGGACCAACAACTCTAAAAAAGCTCTAAAAAGTCCTTCATGCATAATAGGTTCGCTTTATTCATGATACTACTGTAGGCAGAACTGCACTGGGGCAGACTGGTAGAAGTGAGGCTGCCAATTTGCAGTCCATCTGTCCACCACCAACATCACACACCACATTCAGAGTGGACAAGGTGAGTGTTTTTCCTAAGGACATAACAACAATATGCATTAAAGCCACTGGCACCCCACTGTCCCACTTCTCAGGAGTCTACCCTTCAAGTAACCAGTCCAGCTCTGCTCAGCTTCTGAAATCACACAAGAATGAACATTGTCAAGGTATTGTTTGTGAGACTTGTGTTGCATCTTGTATTAAATCATGAGATACACAGTAATCTGCAGCTCTATTTTAACTGTTTGACTCCTCCTCTAATTAAACCAATCTCAAGCAGGGGCTGACTGCAGTGCCAGAGGGCCTTCTGAACAGAACTAGAAAGGAAGTCAGGTGTAGCAAGTTGGAAGATTAGCATATTCATTTTTAGTTAGAAGTGTAACTGAACCATGCAATTAGTTTTGATATAGCGCTGACAAGGAATTATTTTCCAGTTTTAACTAAAGGTCAAAACAGCATGTTAAAATACTGTCAGTAAGACATTTGTTGCAATCTTCCACGTAGTTATTGCAGCACTGGTTTTATCTGTATTTGTAACATTTTGTGTCCAGTAATTGCCCTCCAGCCTCAAGACTCGATGGAGATCGATAGCACTTCTCAGACTGTCACTCGTTAACAAGGCACACAGCAGACAGCGAATATGGCCAACGCTAAACTTAGAAATTGTATTTTACTCATCCAAATAATTTTTAAATGAGTGGTAAATAAAAACATAGCTTATTAATGCCCACAGCAGAGATGATTAAAAAGCCTTTATAAAGTGAAGAGAACTGGTTGAGCTGACTGGTCCTAATTTGATTTCCACAGTGTCGATAGCATCACTGAGGGGCAAAGGAGGTGGGCTGGTCAGAGCCTTATCTTGTGATTAACAATGGATCGGAAACCAGAGGAACAGCCTGGAGTTGAGAGAACACAGCTTTCATCAATGATGCTTTTGAGGCTATTTAAAACTATAGACAGGCCATGGAAGACGTAGGAGATGTCACTGAGGATATTTTCTCCTTGTGTTTCATATATCTTTATTTTCTGCTCTTTGTAATCCCAGTGCAGTGTGGGTGATAGATGAATCAATCTGAGCTGTTGAAGCTTGAAGAAAAACGCCTAGCATTGGCAGTAAAGGTTTATGTGCCCTTATTAGGACCCATTGTTTGAAAAGAGTGCAGCACTGGCCTCACCTCAAGTACCTCTGTGTAATTGTGTGCGTCAGGTCCTCAGAGGCTGATAGATGCTGCACAATGCACACGGGGTAACCGACTTTTGACACACAGAGTAACAGAGTTTAACATGTGTTATCCTGTCATTGCAGGTATCTGGGGATCACGCGCCCTCTCACATACCCAGCGCGGCAGAATGGGCAGCTCATGGCCAAGATGATCGTAGGGGTGTGGCTGGTGTCTGCCTCCATCACACTGCCGCCTTTCTGTGGCTGGGCCAAGAATGTCCACACTGCCGGAGTGTGCCTCATTAGCCAGGATTTTGGCTACACTATCTACAGCACAGCAGTGGCCTTCTACATCCCCATGCTGGTTATGCTGGTCATGTACTACAAGATCTTCAGGGCAGCCCGTAAGAGTGGAGCTAAGCACCGCTTCACTGACCTGTCCCGCCGCGAGCGTCTGGAAACAGTGACTAATGAGGCTCTTCGCATGCAGGGTCTGAAGCCCCCCGGGGTGGCAGAGGAGTGTGCGGCCCTGTCCCGCCTGTTGAACCGTGAGCGTAAAAACATCTCCATCTTCAAGAGGGAGCAGAAGGCGGCCACCACTCTGGGGGTGATCGTAGGGGTGTTTGCTGTGTGCTGGCTGCCCTTCTTCATCCTGTCCACAGCGCGGCCCTTCATCTGTGGGGTGGAGTGTAGTTGTGTGCCCATCTGGCTGGAGCGCACCCTGCTCTGGTTGGGCTATGCCAACTCTCTCATGAACCCCTTCATCTATGCCTTCTTCAACCGGGACCTGCGCTCCACGTACCGCGACCTGCTGCGCTGTCGTTACCGCAACATCAACCGCCGCCTGTCCGCTGTGGGCGTGCACGAAGCACTCAAAGTATAACCGGGTCACTGACAGGACACGATGTCCCTGAAGCGCCCCCTGGGGCTAAAGGACCATCCTGTAGATAGACTAAGACAAGACTGGACACTCTGAAGGGCACTCTGTCTCTGTGCCCTCTGTACTGGCCAACTTGTGCGTGTGTCTTTCTATTTTAAGATGGAGCATTACAGTGAATACAAGATAAGCAAGTCAAGCTGATACAGCTTTGTGCAAATGCCACACTTCTTTGCCTCTACAGTATTAGCTGGATAATATAGTGACAAAGGAAATGACATATACACAATCAATCATCAGAGCTCTTCAGAGAGAAGCAGAGTGGAAATAATGTCTGTAAATTTCCCAAAAGGACGTTTTGTTGTGCCACAGTTTCATTGGAATATGCATTATACATTTTATTTGGAGGTAAACACTTGAAGAGATGTCCTTCTGGGACCTATTACTGTTCATATTTGTCCATTGCTTTTCTGATTTATTTCTATTCCACACTTTGAAAAACATGTAGATGCCAACGTAAAAGAGGAGAAATTAAAAGTTGTGCCATAAAAAAACACCTTGTGGTTTGGTGTCTGCATGAAACATATTTGTTAGTTAAGGCTCTGTAAACATCATTTAGAAAAAGTTAAAGTATGTGAAATGCAAATGACATGAACTCACCACAAACTGTTTTACTGTGTGCTGTGAGAAATCTTTCACTCAGTGTCATCCCACAGTTGGCTCAGATTTTTTTCCCTCACAAAACATATTTACCACATAGAAAAGCTGCTGTTGCTTTAAAACTCCAATCTTATAACAGTATTTGAAAGAAGGTGATGTCCAATTGAAGTTTTAGTGAATATTTATAACGTCAGTGGTTTGGCAGTGTGTACTTTTTCTACCTCAATTTTGGAGACTTCTTTACAATTTCTCTGAAAAGATGAACTGCTATCTTGCATTGTTTTGTGATATTTCTTTTTACAACTCGATTCAAAAAAGCTGGGGCACTAGTAAAAATAACAGCAACATTTTATTCACAATAGACATAAACACAAACTGAGATGGTAGACGTCCTGCTGCCAATGCTGAAACATGAGCTATTATTGTACCACATGAAAAATATCTATTTCCTTTTCACAGCAGGAATTGTTTATTGTATTTCTATTGGCATGTTATTCAGTGCCCCTGTGTTTTTGAATTGAGACTGTTGTGTGTCAAGTCACTGTTCTTCAAAAGGCTTTATTTGTTGATATGGTTTACTGCCTTGTTACTGTCTTCAGATGCAACCTGAACGGACAGTATTTCATCATGTTGTAAATAAAGATTCACCTGGTTCGAACTTTATTTGAGTGTTTGAGAAGTCATGTATGTGATTCTTACCTTAATAATCACACTTACCTTACCTTAATAATAATATATATTACCTTAATTATATAAGCATACCTTGTGTCTTATTTTGCTGAATTCAAAGTGTTTTTTGTGTGATCTGAGTCAAAGTAAAAGGTGCCAGGATTTTTGTATCTAAGCTGCAAAAACAAGAGAAATCTGTTTAGAAATGTGGTAATGTGTTTTACCAGTTCAATAATCAGAATATACATTTGTTAATATGCTATAACATAGTTATGCCCATGTCATATCAGGGAGAACAGTAGGTATCTGAAAATACAAGGTTCTTTTTGTGCTTTTATCAAACCACACTAAGGGGATATACCATACCAGCAGGGGACTGGCTTTTGGTGAAGAAATAAGCATTCTATGCATGTAATGTAATGTAGGTCATCATGGGAGCAGTCCCAACATCCACCTTCCATACCACTTCCTCTTCATCTTCTGAGAGAATATTGAAGCGTTTCTGAATTCATAACACAAAACCATAGCTGTCATAACTGTGAATTTAAAGTGAATCAGCTTTGACAAGTTACTTTTTCAACTTTGCTGTGACTGTCCAGCTGCTCGCATGTATTATAAATCAGTGCTTTGACATTGATTACACTTGGCCAAGTCTTTCACAGTTCAGTGGACTGTGAACTTATAACTATTAGCTCATGCACTCATGTTTTAGTCTTATTGCCAAAGAATTATTTTGAGCTCCATCCAAAATTCGACCTCGGGCATTTTTCTCTGCCAACACAAATCATAAAAAAGGCAGGGGCATAACCTTTGCCAGCACGTTGACATTTTGGTTTTGCACATAAAAAAAGCATGCAGCCATATTGAATCCCTGAAGAAGTCCAGCGTCCCTTGGGCCATGTCAACAGGCGTTACTTCTGGGGTCTGAGCAGTAGCATGCATTGAAAACTGCCATCCCTCTTTTGCCCATTGGGAGGTGAAAAGGCAAGTCTTTATTTATGATGTAATTTATTCATCATAGGGTGTATATTTTTTCCCAAATGGTGCCCACAGGCCCAACTGGCAGCACTGACAGTTGTGGGGGTTAATACATGCACTCCTCTTAAACAGCTTAACCCACCCCGGTAATTAGAACAGGGATAGATCTAAAGGCACGTCACTAACCATATGGATATTTGGGCATAGGCCCACACAAGCCCTTAAGACTAGAGGAGAGTGAAAATGGAGAGAAAAATTACAATAATGCAGTACTGTTATACTGAGAAACACAGAAAAGAGTATCTATTTTTTTTTTTTATATATATTTTGTTATCACATACGTAAATAATTATTCTACTATTCTATTTCTGTCAGTTGCAATATTGGTAAATTGACATGATAATAATGATGGATCCTTTGCATCCTATTCATTGCAATATTTCACTGTAGTACAATAAAGATTAGCATTTTTATTTCTGAAAAATTAAAGCGGACATTTTATTAACACTGATGCCTCAAATGTAGGACAATTAGAAAACTGCTCAAACATGCAGGAATCAACCAGTAACCACATTACTTACCTGCATAGTGCAAGTCCCTTGCCCAAATATATATCATCAATGTGAATGATGAATGGAACCTCCAGCCTTTCAGTTATAGGATGACTGCTTTGGGCCACTGTAGCTCCATGTAAAATGCATTAAAATATAATTTATTATCATTGCAAAACTGTAAAAAAAAATATTGTAAATACTGTTCAACAAAATAATATTCCATATTGTTAATATCATATCATGCCATATTGTACAATTTAAGTACAATTTCTTGTCTAAGTCTGTCATTTTCAGATGGACTGCTGAAATTAACAGACTAAAGGCCACTACACACTACAGGAAAATTTGCCTGACTTTGGCTGCGATTTCTTCTCCCCGAGTTCAGGGAAGCATGACCCAACTTTGTGTCTTTGTGTGCAATTTTGAAGCCACTGCACTCCTTGTGTGTGTGTGTGTGTGTGTGTTTGTGTGTGCTCCTCATGTATGTGGTGTCACTGTGACTCTGATCTGCTCTAAGATCATAACCACCAAACTTCTGCAACACTACGGCAACAACTAATAAAACAGAGTGTCAGGGACAGAGGAGTGATGGACACAGAGGCACAAGATACAAATTCAGGAATTAGCGAAAATTATGAGAAGACTTTATTACTCACCTCTCGTAAAGTGGTAAATTTAAAGTGCAGCATCTCATCCACATTATCCATAGAAATTGTCCTCTGCAAATAATGACACCCAGTCCACCAAACCACACTATTAATCCAGTCTGAGGCATTCTTGAAAAGTAAAATGGCAAGAGTAGTTCCTCACATATGTCTATTTACATTCACATAGTGCACAGATCAGGCTGAAGCTGCAGATTAGCAATGGGGCTCTACTTCCTATGTACTTTATTGCCAATCCTTTATGCTTTAAAAATCATGTATCTGAAGTATTGCACCACATTTCACAAATAATAACACAGTTTTGACTTGCATCTAAACTAGAAGTGCAGTGCTCTGATCTTTGAACTCTTAAAAGTCTCAAAGAGATGTTTTGCTGTAGACAGGCAACAGCTGATGCGAGGTGCGCTCATGACTTTATAGTCTGTAGTATGCAAGCGCAGCCATATCCAGCTGCAGTCTGCATCCGGGGATTTTAAGCCTCATATGATTCTCCTCATGGAGATTTGTTGCACATTTAAAAACGTTTAAGACCAAAAAGTCCTGTAGTGTATGGTGGCCTAGACATGCCCTGACTCTTATTTTAGGCTTTAGAATAATAGCTAGGTTTTCTGCTGCTTTTTATATTAAATTTACATTTGTTTTTAATACACTTTTATAGTAAAAATTGAAATCTTTACTCAATGTACCATGTATCATGAAAACCTCTTAAAAACATTTCAAGCCATAGCTTGAATTGTCACATCTGTCCTAAATATCCAATTTACTGTTCTGTATGAAGGAGATCATGGATCCATTTGGATCAAACAGCCTTGCTCACATTTAACCTGGTAAACAGATCAATTGTGTGTTAAAGTTATGTGTTTTTAAATTATGTGTGCTTTAACTCATCATTTCAGGTGCACTATGCAACTTTTCAGGTTCGTGACAAGACTGCTCCAAATCCAACTGCTTGACTTTGGCTTTGCCTAAGTGCCTTCCATTGATTCAATTACAGATTTTATTGCTCAAAAATGCTTTGAAAGCCATTGAGCCAGAAGTAGTCAACACTTAAAACATTTCGACAGGCATATATATATGTATATGTGTGTGTATATATATATATATATATATATATATATATATATATATATATATATATATATATATATATATATATATATATATATATATATATATATATATATACGCAATAATACCCATATAGTTTTACCCATTTAAAAAGAGAGATAGAAGAAAATCCTGCCCTGTCTTCATATTGATTGGACTGCTTGTACATTGTCTTTTACACTCTTCACTCTCTAGCGTAGTACCATGCTGTTGACTCATCACAGTCTTGTATTTTCACACATGTTCATTGCTCTGATGCCAAGACACTGAGCCACCCACACAGTCAGCTCATATGGGATTAGCCTCTCCTTTGTTCTGCCCAAAATCTGTGATAAATATCCCACAGTGAAGGGTGCAGTGCAGACACATAAGC